TCACGAATAAAAAGAAGTTGTTATCCATAAAGTTTGTTCTATATTAAGAAATTCTGATGTGTTAGCTCACCTTTGTGAGAAACTATCACATTTATTCCCTGAGCAGAAAGTTCAAATGTCAGATTTGATTCATGAGTTCTCTCATTTATTTCCTGATGTGCCTGGTCGAACTGATGTTGTTAGCCATGATATAGATGTAGGTGATGCTGTGCCTGTAAGACAACACCCATATCGCATGAACCCTGTGAAACGTCAAATTCTGCGGAAAGAAGTGAAATACATGCTGGACAATGACCCAGTGACAGTCCGTGGAGTTCACCATGTGTTCTTGTGCCGAAGAGTGGTGGATGTGGTTGGCGCAGCTGTGCTGACATGAAAGCTGTCAATGCGCTCTCACGAACTGATTCGTATCCAATACCGAGATTGGACGATTGCATTGATCGCATTGGTCAAGCTAGCTATATAAGTAAGTTTGACTTATTGAAGGGCTTCTGGCAGATTCCACTCACAGACCGGGCAAAGAAAATATCGGCATTCGGTACACTAGATGGACTGTATCAATACAAAGTGATGCCATTTGGTCTGAAGAACGCACCAGCGACGTTCCAGAGACTCGTCAACAATGTCACATCTGGTCTTGATAGTGTTGAAGCTTACATGTGTGATGTCATCAATTATGACATAGAGTGGGAAGACCATCTGAAAAGAACTCGTGCTTTCTTTGAAAGACTGTCTGAAGCAAAATTGACTCTGAATCTATATATAATCTTGCAAAGTGTGAATTTGGAAAGGCACAAGTTGAATTTTTAGGGCATGTTGTAGGGCACGGCCAGGTACAGCCAGTTCATGCTAAGGTTGAAGCTATTGTACATTTTCCAGTACCTCAGTCTAAGAGAGAACTCATGAGATTCTTGGGTATGGCAGGCTATTATAGAAAGTTTTGTCAAAAATTTTCAGATGTTGTATCACCACTTACCAACCTTTTTGGGAAAAAGGTAAAATTCCAGTGGGATAGAGGTTGTCAGACTGCATTTGAGAAAATCAAAGCCATACTCATGAATTCTGCAGTGTTGCAGGCTCCCAATTTTGAGAAACCATTTAAGTTACAAATTGATGCAAGTGATGTAGGTGCAGGTGCTGTCCTGATTCAAGAGGATGATTCAGGAATTGATCACCCAGTGTGTTATTTTTCCAAGACGTTTGACAAGCATCAAAGAAATTATTCTACCATTGAGAAAGAGACATTAGGTCTTTTGCTAGTTTTGCAGCATTTTGAAGTGTACCTTGGTACTACTACTTTGCCAATTGAGGTGTTTACTGATCACAATCCCTTGACTTTTCTTCATAAAATGAAGAACAAGAATCAAAGACTTATGAGGTGGAGTTTGACTTTGCAAGGGTTCAATCTTGTGATTAGACACATTAAAGGCAAAGACAATGTTTGAGCTGATGCACTTTCAAGGTTGTAAATGAATAATGACTTGATGATGATGTATGTTTGTATCTGCATTATCTCATAGTAATTCTGCAAGATGTTTCTCATGTTGTTCATATTATTACATGTCATCTTATTATGTTAGTATTTTGCTATGATTGTAACCGAAAGTTTCTGTGAAACTTTCTTTTCCTTAAAGGGGAGAGTGTTGTAATTTGTAATAACATTGGTTAGGTGATAATAATTATGAGTCACAATGTCTAAAGTTTTGAGTGTTGGTTGTGGGTCACATTTTGAGTCATATATGTTCAGTGACAACAGTATTTTAGCGGCACGCCTTAATGATAGCACTCCAGAATTACCACCTTTGACCGGATGTTTATGTGTTGACATCGTCATGTCGTATGTTCAACACGTTTCGCGAAAGATCGAAGTGGTTAATGATACAGCCATGCTTTGCTGGAAAGTTCGAGATGCTGTGTCAGTATATATAAAGGCTGGCTGTTGTGTTGTGCGACACGCAAGGACTGACACACGGACTAACACACGGAATTACACGGGACTTTCGATATCACTGGAGTTGCCCATCGTTGTTTGCCTCGGCTTCGTCCTTCGTCACATCGCCATCATCTGACCCTGACACTTTGTGCCTGACTGCTCAATTTATAATATCTGATCTTTCTGTGATTACCAAGACTCTGGTGAGTTAATATTTCATATATGTGACCCATAACTTTAGATTTGTGACTCAATTGCATTGTATTAGAAATCTGTATTGTGATTCATTGTATCTTGCTCATTGTTTGCTCAATATATTATTGAATATTTTAGACTTGTCTGTGCTATATTTTGTTGGTTCAAAGGGGATTCTTAAACCTTTTGTCACGGCAATTATTTAACCGTAACAATATCTATACATGTTAATCTCTACTGCCACAATTGAAAGAAAGTAAACATATGTAAATTAGATTGTTCAAAGTTTTTTAATGTTTTTGTGGAAGATCTAAAAGATATATATTGTAGTCTTCGATCAACAATGTGGAACAGCTCAAAAATAACAATCGTGCTTTTAGGATTTACCGAATACCGTCGAGAGTGAATATATGATAATCCTCTGGAGACTATGAAGGACACACAACATTCATTCATAAGGGGCAGATAATCAGTAATTTCCAAATGTGAAAAAAACACCAATTCTATATACATAAACAATAGGCCATGCATATGTCTGTGGAGCTGGCATTTGACCTTCCAGTGTGACTTTCTGAAGTAAATTCCTTCACGAAGCAAGTAACCAAGACACAGTGGGAGATGTGTTTCCCTGTACTGGCTCTAAGACACCAAAACTAAGCCGCCTCAAGAAAATTTACTCTCGTAGCCACGTTTTCCCAGACTATTTCAAAGAAACACGTGAGGCGATGCAAAGTTGATGGGTATTTATCTCGGGATAACACTCTGAACTAAGCAGAGAAAATCATATTCAGTATGAAGTGAAATCGGATTGGGGTCAGTGTGTTTCAGGGTCGTGTGTTTTGATCAATATAGCCATAAATCGACAAGGAATAGGTCTTTGGTGCCATGTTCAGTGTTTGAAGGTTACTTTTAGAAGATTTCATTTAGGTTCTTATACATAATGTCAGTAGCACTGAATAACGAATTTGGTATTTCCGGTCGTGAACAAGGGGATAGACTGTTGATCGTTGTGTTGGTGTAACATAACAAATAAGCGAATATTATCTCGTGACAACCTTTATGCTTATTTATACTTCACATAACCGTTTATAAACATTCATTTCAACGATTTTCGCAGTTAAATGTAAAGGACACCAACTCAGAAGGTATTCTTTAGTTTACACCACGAATGAATAAACATGCAGCGTTTAAAAAACCCAAGCAAACAGAAAAACATGTACTCGAGTGTCCGTTACCATAACGACATATTGAACACGCACTAATTCCTTCATCGTTTCATATACCCGTGAAGATCCGAGTTAGAATTGATCTTCAGTAACCCGTGCTTGGAACCGTCAACGTCCCTACAGGAAACCATCAGTTTACAATCTACTATGAGTGCTTTGCATCCTCTGAAGTCTCTTCAGAGAGCCTATAAAGCTCTTTAACATGACCTTGCTATAATAAACATCCAGGGAACCATCTTCGGCAGTGTAAATTAATTGAAAGTCTGTCTGGATAAATTACATCATTAGTAATTCAGACTTCAATATATGGAATGTACACCTATTAGCCTAGCAAGGATGAAAGGTTTAGTGCCTCGTTGGATAATGTACTCGAAAGTCAGTTTGCGTTGTGGAAGAAACAGGGTGCCCTCAATAAATACTGTGGCGTAACATTTCATTTAGATTGTCACACTGACATAAATAATCGCCATTGATTTTCTGATATGTCACGTTCATATCGGACACAATTACGTTTCAGCTTTGAGCATGTGATCATTCTCTCTGCAGGATGGTATTTGGTATCTGGTGAACCATGCCGCGCATGTGTGTGTGTGTGCGTGCGTGCGTGTGTGTGTGTGCGCGCGTGCCTGCTGCGTGCGCGTGCGCGCGCGCGTGCGCGTGCGTGTGTGCGTGTGTGTGTGTGAATACCATTAATTATTTAAAAGAAGCCTTGTTACTTTTGTGGCCCGTGTTTGTATCTGATTATATAAATTTTAATCTCTACTGCCACAAGCGAAAGAAAAAATAAACATATGTATGACATTGTATTAAATGGTTTCAAGTTATGAAATACATTCGCTCAACATTATAGATCCTATATATTTATAGGAATATTACTTTTGAGGAAAATGATGTAGACCAAATCTTCACTCAACAACTTTGGTTGAACCATTTCTTTAAATCATCATATATTATAAAATACTGGTTTAATCGCGGTATACATAGTATAAAAGATATATGTGATGAAAATGGTTTTCTAAGTTTTGAAAATTTAAAACAGAGATACAAAATACAGGGAACTTTCTTAGACTATCAACACTTGTTAAACAACATTCCAAATAACTGGAGATATCAGATAAGAAACACAACATTTACATTGGATCAACCACATATTAATGATATATGGAAATATATTATCTGTAATGCTAAAGGCTCAAGGATATTCTATGAGGAACTAATTAAGAATAATTCTACACCCAAGTCCTTAGAATATTGGAACACTGTCTTTCAACATCAGATTAACTGGAAAGATGTATTTAGTTACTATAGGAAATGTACAAATGACCGTAAGCTCTTAGACTTTCAATACAGATTTATAAACAGAATAATGTATACAAAAAAAGAATTATTGAAAATGAAGTTAGTTGATGATGATACATGTACATTTTGTAAAACCGCCTCAGAAGATGTATCACATGTCTTCTTTGAATGTCAATTTGTTCGAAAACTTTTGGCTTAAAGTTGAAGAATTCCTTAATGATAACCTCCAAACCAAATTTGACACTATCTAAATTAATCACTATGTTGGGACTGCCCTCAAATAACCAAGTAGTAAATCACATTTTACTACTTGCAAAAAGATGAATCTATACTTTAAGCCTTAAACAGCAGAATTTCTCAAATTATTTAAAGACATATGCTATATCGAAAGGTCTATTGCAATGAAAAATAATTAATTTAGTTGTTTTACTAGGAAATGGCAACACTTAGATACAGTACTCTGGCATTTTAATTTAGCACACATGCAGTTTGACCTAGCCAAACTATTGTGTCCACTACAGTAATAAAATGTTCAAACTAACGCTATATCTACATATGTACACCTCATACAATTTTGTACTAACTTGATGATGTAAAGGCCAAAACATGTCACTCTTCTGTCTGTACATGCAACTTGAAATGGAATAAAAAAAAGATGAAAAAACCCAAACATTATAGATCTGGTTCGAGAATAACAATCATGCTTCTAGGATTTACCGAATACCGTTTAGAGTGAATACATGATACACCTCGCAAGGATACACATAAGGGGCAGGTAATCAGTAATTTCCAAATTAGAAGAATTATGAAATAGTTTGACATCTATTGCCATAAAACGTGAAATCAGTTTTGCAAACCGGCGTCAATCCGTTGCAAGAAAGAAGAACCAACATCTCCATTTTCCTCTGGGGATAATGCTTGATGGTCCTCCGGATTGTTAAGCGCATCTTGAATTTCTGTGATTACAGAACTCTTTTTCAAATATGATTCCAAAATATGTCTGGATTCTGCATTGTATTTTTTGTAGATGTCTGGCTCTGGTTTTGAAAGGCAGCATATGGTTGTCCGTTCTTGAATACAATTCATTGCGAATTGTTCGTACGATTCCCTGGTGAGTGTGTCGTCGGCTGTTTCAAGAAACAGGTGGATCTTCAGCTCAAGTTCCTGCCATTTCGCGCCTGTCTTGTTGAAGAGCTCTTGCTTTTTCTCAAACTTCTCTACCAGAAAGGTGTTGCCAGCTATGAAAGTGCTAAACGTGACAGTGATTGCTCCTATGATTATCTTAGAACATTCTTGGAGCCACCCTTTACCTACGGGGATGTACATGGATAGGATCGCTGTAGCCACGCCCATTAGCACACTTACTACTATGAGCATCCAAAACGCAAGTTGGTTGTACCTGTCTGACTGTTTGTACATCATATAAGACCCTATCATGCTGCGAATCCGTAACTCGGATAACAGCTTGACAAAAGCTTCAAAGACCTTCTTTGAAGGCTGAGGCTGGGGCTGAAACTGAAGCTGCTGTGTCTCATAAACCTCCTGAGTTTGACTTCTTAATGTTGGCATGTCCATGGTGATAGTGCATCCGCTGAAGAAATACATATGATAAATATTATTCCACCATGTCACCTTCATCGTCACTTAGAAATCGTATCTTCTAAAATGTATATGTCTAAATTATAATATTTTGTATCCATATTCATCATTTGTTTTCAAACGGACCAAGGTCCAGTGTGCAATTGTCGCAATTTTGTATTGTGGGCCTTGTATATACCAAGTACATGCTCTATTATCTCACTTCAATATAAATATACACAATACAATGTCGTGGGTTTTGACACTAGCCTTCCTTTAAAGCCCCCTGTTACAGTAAGTTAGTTCAGTGAATTATCATGTAATAAAAGACTTTCTTGAATGTAAAAATAAACTATTTGGTGGGAGCCAGAAGTGACCACACACACACACACACATAAACTAAGAAACATCAGGGCTGATCTGTGAGACGAACCGCCTGTCATAGTGACCACTTGCACTCCTGAGGGACACAGCTATGCTCTGCTATTTAGACGTCTTATGGTGTGGTAACCTTTTTCTATGAACAGTAGGAGGACAAGCAGTAGTATATACAATGATAGTTCGAGATCAATTTCAAGAAAGGTCGCTGTAAAGCTTTATTTCATAAATAAAGCTTTTGTTCAGGCCCTTAGATCTCGCCGCCATTGTATATACTACTTTTGAATCCTCAGTTAACTTCCCGGTCACTATGACCGCGAACCAGCACTTTTTCTGATCATGTGATGGCTCTATGTCATTACAGGATACCATTAAGATTACTCGACAAGGTAAGTGTTGAATATTTTGCTTGGGTGGCAACATTGTGCTGTACGGTATGACCAATAATTCCTCTCTGACGAAACCTCTCCCTGGCCCATCTTTCAAGTAGTACAAGTTTGGCTCATCAGCCTTGATGTCCACTTTATCTATGTTGTAAGTTTTCACTGACCATATCGAATCGGTGGCTCGTTTCCGAGTGTCCCCTTCATGTTCCCCCCGGTTGGTAGAGGTACCTCACGAGGGCCCTATCGGGTATCTGTTTCTCCTTCCCACGCGATGGTGCAGCCGGTTCGGCTATCACTGATTTCAGTTTGATAGCGTCGGCTGGTTTCTTACCGGTGAGACGGGTGGTTTCGTGGTTGATAGCTGACACCACCTGATGTAGCCGCGCTACCCATTCCGTCGATCGTTTTTCTGGGTTGGTCATCTCTCTCGCGTACTGGTGCCCAAATAAGCACTCGGCACTCGTCCGATTGAATCTCTCGACTATGGCTTGGCTGCGATGGGCTCCAGCCGCGCCACGCCTGACCTTGGTATCGTGTTTGGCTAGCAGTTGTGACACAGCACCAATGAACTCCCGCCCAGGGTCGACTTGCAGCTCTGTGGGCCCTGTCAGCGGACTGCGTTTGTATTAGCGTTTCAATCCGCGGGCTACATGGGCCGCATCCTTGTAGCGGCTGGCAACGTCAACGACGGTTAGGGCATACTTGTACCTCCTGTCGTGGGGTAGGAAGAGGAGGTCGGCCTGGTGGGTGCTATTGGGTCCAGTGTAACAGGCCAGAGTATACCCCTGTCCCAGACTATACCCGGGGTTAAACTGGACTAGCCCAGACTATACCCCAGGTATAATCTGGGCTAACCTAGTTTATACCCCAGGGTATATTCTGAACTAGGCCATAGTATACCCCCCTAGCCCAGATTATACCCCTACAGAAAACAAGTGATTAAGGATACTACTATAATTTTATTGTACTTCTCACACAATTAAACACTGGTTACAACATTGAAATGGTCCGATACATTTTCCAGATACAAAGCATAATCAGTGTGAGTTTTCAAGCTGAAGCTGGCAGGGTACATCAGCCATTGCATTGACTGACCAACTGCACTGTAAATATAAATGTCACATTTTAACAGACTGGCTGTTGACATAACGTCTGCATCTGTTGCCCACACTAAATCTCGTAAAATTTCCGAATTAGTGATGTACTCATTGACATTTTGGTTCAGGAAATGTTTTAGTTCATCATTAATGTCATTGTTCATATGCTGAACCACTCGATCTCGGATAGTGCTGTGACTGTCTTCGGATCCTGTCAGGCTGTAACTGATGCAGCGGAAGTAGCAGTTGCCGTCGCCTTTGGTTCTGTATGTCCGTCAGGGTGCTGTCAAGTCTGTTGATCTTCCGTAATAAATGTCCTTTGAAGAGTTCAGGCCTAATGCAGCAGCCAGATTCCTTCGAGCATTTTTGGGGATAGGGTTGAACAAACGGGTTGACTTGATTTGTTTGGTAGTAAGGTCTGTATGGTTGCCTGACTCCAGTTCATCTCTGAGTCTTTTTCGTTGCTTCGAATCACTGGGGCTTTCGGCATTGTTGTTAGTGGGTGGGTCATTGGAGTAGATTTTGAGGTTACTGGCGTGGTATGTGTTGCTCAGGATCTTGTTGGTTTTCACGTTCTGTAGCTTCACACGACCGTTGGTCAATGTCTGGACGACGGAGTATGGTCCAGTCCACCATGGCTCCATCTTCGCTCCCATCCTCTGGACTCGTCGGTTATTCTTGATGTACACTGTTGATCCAACAGCTATCTCCTTGTTGCTGGTGTGTCGTCGATCGTAGTTTTCTTTCTGGCGATCCTGTGCATTGGAGATATTGTTGGAAACAGTGGAACAGATGCCTTTGTGTAGATCAATGATGGTTTCCAGCACTTCTGGGCATTCAGTGTTAGGTGAAGATGCTGTAGCTGTGCTGTCATTCCCCTCGGTTGGTTTCAGGTCTATCGATAGCTTGGCTGGGCGGCCGTACATCACCTCGAATGGTGTGCATTTCGTCGAAGCATGGACTGATGTGTGGTATGCGAACAAGACGCCAGGAATGTATTGGTCCCAATCATCAACTTGGTCATTGACGAGTTTACTCAGAGCCGCCTTTAAAGTCCTGTTGTCACGTTCCCGTTGGCCGTTTGACTGAGGATGGTACGCCGAGGTTATGCGATGATCCGTCTGGAAATGGTCCATGAGTGAGTCAATCACTTTGTTAACGAATTCACGTCCTTGATCACTGATCAATGTGTCCATGCAGCCCAGTCGACAGATGACATGGAAAAGAAACAGAGCAACCGACTTCGCGCTTTTATCCAGGATAGCAGCTGCCTCCGACCACTTGGAAAAATGGTCGGTTACCGCAACGATGTACTTGTTGCCGCTTGTTGTCTCTTGTAGAGGGCCGATGATGTCAATTCCAACGAGGCTCCAGATTTTGGCAGGCACAGGAATGGAGTGTAATGGTGGTGCTTCTGTGTTGACTTTCGGATTGATGACAAAGCACTTCGGACACGTCTTGACATATTCTTGCACGTCGTTCTTCATGCCTTTCCAATAATAACATGAGGATATTTTGCCGAAGGTTTTATCTCTGCCAAAGTGTCCACCTGTAGCTGGGTTGTCATGGCATGCTTTCAGGATGCTGGGTAGGCGGCTTTTGGTGAGCACTTCCCTTTCACCACGAAAGACAATTCCGTTTGCTACCCGAAATGGCTTTGCAGTTTGCCGAAAATGTGACTTCGCATTCAAACGCGTGTCAGGATCCAGGTCATAGATGTGCTGAGGATACTTCTTATCAGAGTTGGTGTAGAAGTTCAAGATCTGGGTATAGAGGTTGTCATCCATGTTGAAGGTTGAATGCGATATAGGATGCGAAATGAAATGCACTTTTAAATACCTTTACATGACACCGAGATCAGTCTCCAGAGTTCCTACTAACACCAAATACCAGCCCTACTACACCAGCCCCTACACCAGCCCCTTCTCACACCGGTTATCTCCCATTAGTTAGACAGCCAGTTGTTAGACAGTGGAGTAGGGTATTAATTAAGACAACACCCACCTCCATAATGGTACAGCTCTAATTACATTGATGAGTAGAGTGTGCCCGTAGTTAATCTGTTCATGTTGTACTACCCCGTTGCCGAAATACCTTAGTTGTGTGTGCGACGCTAAATAAAGCAAATAACTAACTACTAACCTTGATATATCAGCATGGCTGGGTTACGCAAAGTCGAAAATATCATATTGCAGAGAGGCACTCAACAAATACTTAATAAATTTTGTATTATGCAGTAATGTAAATGAAATGCACCTACAAATTCCTTTAAATGACACCAAGACCATTGCCCGAGTCACACACTCATATTGAGTGAATTGTCAACATAATTTTTTAGGGGTATAGTCTGGGCTGGAGGGGTATACTTTGGCCTGGTCCCAGAATATACCCCCGGGGTATAAACTGGGCTAGCCTATAGTTTACCCCGGGGTATAATCTGGTGGGGGGTTACTCTGGTAATGCCGAACCTTCTTCGAGGGCACGTAGCGTGGTGCTGGTAAATAGATCTGCCACAGGGCTTGTTTTTCAAGCCACGCTTTGGCCTCGTCTGGGGGTACTCACGCCATTTTAGCCAGCTTATGTACGGCGCTAGCTCCTTTCCAATACCCACGCGGGCTGTAGGAAATAGCCTCAAACTTTCTGTGGTTCCGTGACATCGTATATATACACCTATGTTCTTGGTTCAATTTTCTCATGCCCGTACGCGTACGTGTTGATCGCGTCGATGGTTATCCAACGCTTCGTGTCCATCGGCGATAGGGACGTCTTGTTTATTGTCAGTCCGTATATCCTGTGTCCGTCGCTTCTCAGCGTGTTCATTTGATGTCTGAAGGTGCGGGTCTTGAACAGGGCTTCCTTGAATCCGGCGTGTTTGATGTGTTGTTTCACCACGTACTTCTTGACCCCCTTCGCCTTTCGGATCTCACCATTGTCGGCCTTCAGGATGGAGTACATCTTGACTCTCAAGCCTATGCACTCAACTATTGGCGTGCCGGCACACTCGTCCTTCATCTTGTCGAGCACTTTTTTATTTACCGTGCTGTGCATGGCATGGCCCTTGGGGTAGTCGCTGGTGTCGTACAAATCGAGGCGTTTCTTCATGTCCTCGTACACGTCCTCGGTTCGAATCTCCATCAGCAGGGAATCCGTGT